GTTCCTTGGAAAGAAAACTAAACAGGGATTGAAAAAGTACTTTCACAGTACAATACCTTATAGAAAAATTATAGAGAGTTGCATGTTGAGAAGGAATCAGATAAAAATATGTTTGAGTAAGAAAGGGATTTTAAAAATACATGCCTTCTGTGCCCCACAAAAGTTCTAGATATGGTATTGGTATTCAAAAAGATCATCATCAAAAGAGAACGTATTTCCCAGGTCTACAACATTATTATGTTCTGCATTATCCTCATGAAAATATAAAGGGTGAAAATAACTAGAAATGGAAGATTGTTTAGCTAAATCGATAGGTGATTGCTACATAGAACTTACATACACAGGCTTATTCAATGAAGTCACAGATCACTGGAATACATTCCCCAACCTGAGAGTTGATCTTATGAATTTTCATTATGCATCTGCAAGGCCTCTTGTAACATAACATCTTCATTTTCTTTACTGATATTCTAATAGACATATTTCACTCTAAATAATCATTTTAAGAATTATGCTATGATACCAAGAAAGAGTACTACAAAGGTTAGGATAGCATAACCTTTAAAGTGTTTTAGAATACAAATCTCTACAAGACACCAACCTTGTCTGCCTGACTAGCAAATCTTACTCTGACTTCATTTTCATCTATTAAACATTCCTATAACCTTGGGCTGGAGGACCCAGAGAAATTTCAGTCCACCTATGAGCCCCTCCTCTGCTTATTTATGCCTGCTCTGAATAAGTGTAGAAGTCGACAATTATCATCTTTTGCAGAAAGAATCTGAGATTCCAACCTGCCCTTAGTTGCCTGGTTGTATTACTTAAAAGGAGGCTGCTAATCCCATTCTGTGACTTAGTGCCCTCTTCTGCCAAAAAGGAAGCATACTAGTTGGTTTTCTTATTTTGTTTGTTTATCAAGGATACAGGGGTGATATAGGGAGGTGTAATATCCTGATAGTACCTATTCCTCACACAGTGTACCCTTTACTTCTGTCATTTGCTAATACTCCCAACTGTTCAAAAACTCAAAAAGTAGTAACTATATCCCAAAACACCATCTCTTGAGTGGTGCATGACCACTAATCCATTACTATTATCATAACAGAATTCCTGGGCCAGCCTGATTCTTACGATAACACGATTAAACAGAAAAGAAGAAACCTTAGCCCTTTGTTCTCCATCTCTCCTCTCATTCTTGATTTTTGAAAGTGTTATATTTAATTTAAAATTTTTCACTTTTCAAAGTCTTTTCAAAGTTTTATTTTTCAAAGTCTGCTTTCTTCCATGGGCAAGAGAGACACAAAGATAGCACCCCCAACAGGGTCTTGATGCTGAGCTCTACCCACAGCTACAGCCAGCCCTGGATTATGGGCACATGTGCACGTTCAGTACTCAGGGACCTCTCCAGAGGAGAGCTGGCATCCTTCCGACATGGGCCAGCCACACAGAAAGCACCATTTTGGCCACTGCACCATCCAGCTCCTGTGTTATATGTGTGTTTTCAAGGATAATGTTTGCCCCAGTAATTTTCTTAGTTCCCATACTTAAGCCAATCTTGTTGATTTGAAGAAAGTCTATTTAGTAGATTAGAAAGAGAACTGGGAATAGAGAATTCTTAATTTTATGTCATTTTGTCTTGTTTCCCAGATGTAAAATACTGGAAGCTTTTCATATAGTTCATAGGGATGATGTATGTGTAGGTGTATTCTCACTGTATGAAGTAGATTTTCAGTCATTACAGTGAATATTCTGTAAGTTTAAATAATATCATACTTCCCATCAAAAATGAGGACATGTATAAGACAATGAAAAAATTAGGATAGAACAATTTGGATATACATATGTGACTTTAGCTTTATTTCTCTTTTTAATTTGCTATTGGGTACATGAAGCTTGCCAGAGAGAGTGGGGCCGGGGGAGGGGGGAAGAGGGTGAAAGAAAATGAGAAAGCACCCCCTAGGAGGGTTTCTTTTTTTAATTTTTTAATTTTGCAAGTCTGTATTTGTTCTGTTAAATGGAAGTTTTGTTGTTTCAGAGGAAGTAAGGTAAGTTCTGTTCAAGAGGCAATGTGCCAGCGTCTACCTGAGCCCTCTAAGTACTGCTTGGTCAGTGGGAAGAAAGAGTAAAGAAGGATGTCAGTGGAATCTTTTTCTGGCATGAATCTATAGTTCAGTAAAAGCTCCTGAAATGATTTTGCTTAGTTTTTCATAAACACAAAGATAATCTTTAGAGGCATTTCCACACTTTCAACAAATCCAAAAACAAACCAGCCTCTCCAGCTAGTCATTCCTCATTAATATTTTGAAACTTGATACTGTATAGTGTTTCCCAAAGTTTGAACGCAGACCAACATTTTAAAGTAAATACTACTATTCCACCCAACTAAGGAATGTATAAACTAGCAGAAAAATTGTGTGTGTGTGTTTGTGTGTGTGTGTATGTGTAAACAAAAGGCAAAGTATAAAGCAAGTTCATGCTATAATGTCAGGATACTTGTAGCCAATGGATTCTGAATTGATAGTCATCTTAAACCAAATCCCGCCTTTGCTATCAAGGTTTATTCAATCATTCTAAGAGAGAAACATGGTGTCTCAATAAAAAATGTAGTTCTTAAATTTCTATATATTATAGAATTTTGGATTATTTCAAGGTCTTACTAAAGTCTACCTGCGTAGAAATTCCTCTTTGATCATCAAGATTCAATAAAGTTTTTTATATATTAGTGGATTTCCTTTGTATGTAGAATATTAAACTATATTTTGGTTGTTCTAAAAATAAAGGCATTAACTTTTAAATTTCTGATTCATAGTAGAAATCAAATAGTTGAACACAAATTAGCATATGACATCCAACAGATGTCATTTTTCAGAGATGTGATCACATTATGCCCAGTGATATTTTAAACAAATGCTATTTAGTGCTTCAAAAAATATGATGAGTAAGCTGCAATCTTTTTGAGATAGATGACATAATGCATGCCATTTTGACTTTATTTTTATTTTTAGGTTTTAGACACAGGGCATGAGTGCTCGCTGGGGAGAGAGAGAGACAGTGAGAGGGAAAATGAGAAATCACCTCCTGGGGGTATGACCATGCCACAATCCCTTTTCCTCCACTCTCTCCTTGGGATTTTGGGAATGCATGCTCACACCCTGGCATGATTTTCAAGCCACCAAGTCAAGGACTCGAACCATGGTCAGCTATATGGGAGGCCAGTGCCTTAACTACCACACCACCTGTTGGCCCCAAGCATGTCATTTATAAAAAGCTTTATCAGGACAGATGACTGATTCTGGATCATTTCTCTTGTCCCTATTTCTTCTCTCTCACATGTTCCCTCATTTTCTATGTCCTTTTCATACAATGTGAGCTGTGCTTTTGCATGCCATGAGGACACACAACAAAAACACCCTCATAGTCAGTTACTTCATTTTCGAGAATATGAGAACAAATGGGATAGAAAGAAGGTGAAACAGAACAGTTATTGTGTTTCGCCAACTAATTTGCCTTCAGAGAAAATCAGATTTGTCCAAAATTATAATATAAAATATTGATGGGCAATATTAAATATAGAAGGATATAAAATGCACAGGACAATTTCTTTACATAAAGAAAATTTCAAGGCAGAAGAAAATGTTATCTTTAGTATTAGAATGTATTTTACTAAAATTTTAAGAATTATTAAGTCTAGTTTCACTGAGAGTTTGTTTTTGTTTTTGTTTCTGGGTTCTTTTTTTTTTTGAGAAGTTTTTGCTATAGGACACGTGCGCTCACCAGAAAGACAGAGAGAGACAGAGAGAGAGAGAGCGAGAAATCGCTCCCCAGGGGGGATGGCACGCCGTAATCACTTCTCCTCCATTCTCCTCTCAGGATCTTGGGCACGCATGCACATGCGCCCAGCGTTGAGTTTAAGCCACCGGGTCCGGGACGCGAACCGCGGTCGGCTACATAGGACTTCAGCGACATAGCCATTATGCTAACTGTTGGTCCCACTGAGAGTTTCTTAAAAATTTATCTTTTAAAACAGCTTTGTGCATTACATGAGTAAAATTTTCTACTTTTAATAGTGCACTAATGTAATGTAGGGTAATTGTGTACTAACATAATGTAATATAAGGTATTATCTGGTGGAATCCAAGTGATTGGGACATGGTACTTCTCTTTACTATTTTTATACTTCATTATGAATCTACGATGACCTTAAAATAAAAAGTAAACAACAACAAAAAATCCCCAGTAATGCGATGAACCTAGAAGGGGCTAGTTTCTCTCCTACTTTATAGGCTTTTAAAGAGAAGTGGTTTACATCTACAAAAAATGTGAGTTTTGAGGAGAAATTATAGTAAGACTGCCTAGGAGACTCAGATCTCAAGTCATAGACCATCCTCGGCAGAGTTCTTTAGATTTCACCAAGAAAAAGGTTTAGCTAGATTAGGTCACAAAAATATCCCAAATGAAGAAAATCATTATACACCCTATATATGGTGAGAAAAATAGACATTTCTTTAGCACTGATTTCTTGGGGAATGCAACACATTACTCATCACCATTAGTCCCTACAGGATCCATGTGCAAATTGTTAAAGTGCACGTGCTTTGAGCCATGAAGTGGGGTTGGGGTGAGTGACAAGCACATGGCTGTCAGTGGAGTTGGGCTGGATTCCAACATCCTCTTGTTGCACGAAGCAGGCAACCTCACAGAGGGTGTAATCTTACAGCTGGACATAGGACTCCTATTTATACAAATCTCTCTCTTTAGCGCTTTACAAATCATAAGACAAAAACAATTTAACTTGAACACTTATATGTAGTCATGACAGAGTGGGATTTATAACCAAGCTGAGATTGTAAAATTTCCTGTAGCAAATATCCAATTCACGGGTATAAATTCAGGTAAGCATAAAATGATACTTGATAAAGATTTCTTGTCATAATGTAGTCAAAGAACAGCCAAGAAACTCCTTCCCTTTGTTTTCACTACTAGGACAGGGAAATACTTACCACCATCTTCAACTGCAAAGCGGAACTTATCACTTGTGGCATTAGCCCCTTCTCTTAAGACATAGCATATTTTCATGTCATCAATGTCAGCTAGAAAATAACCAAAAAAGTAAGATAATTAATTACTAGAGTAAAACTGATGACTCATTACTTAGGGCTAATATTCTTGGCTGTTATTTTTCTGTAAACATGCTTAGATCCCCTTCTTCTCTTCAGAGAAGTTATGCTCTCTTATATCTTAGATCTCTAAGCCCCTTGATTTCAGTTGTCCCATGGAAATCTGATCTCACACACAGATAGAGTGAGAGAGTTAGGCTACAATAATAGCTAGGTATTGCCCCTTCCAAGGATATCTGCGTGTTCATGCACTGAAGGAGTGACTATCTAAATATGGAAAGTCAGTCAGTTGGAAAGGAAGATATTTTGAGTCATGGAAGATTTCTTGACACTTTTTCCCCTGATTGTAGGACTGACCCTCAAAGGAAAGGGTCTTTGCCTCCCCACACTGGCTCACTTTTCTTGCCTGTTGTGGTTTAGTGGGATGTTTATAGGCTCTCCAAAATTTGAAAGGAAAAAAAAATCATGGAGATATTTTAAAAATCCCCAGATTGAAATAACTACCATGATTCAATGTTAGAGAGAATTTAGGACAAACAATATCTAATAGACCTGTATTCACAGTAGAAAGTTACAGCATCTCAAAAGTGCTCCTGTGTTACTTCCTACTCAGTCAAGGCTAAAGGTTACTAATTAAGACACACTTCTGAAAATTTATTCATCCATTTTTCCTGTTTCTCTCCTTAATGATGCCACACAGGAAACATGATAAAACAAATATCATTCTGTTCTGTGTTATAATAGGTCTTTATTTGATCTGAGCTAGTCAGTGATTTTTCTAAGGCCAACGTCAAGACCATTGCTAAAACTACTTCCAGCAATGGAATGTAATATTTATTCATCTAGTGGATGTTCTATGGTTTTCCCATTTCCTTGAAGCTCTATTATTAAGGTCACGCTATGGAGTTCAAAGGCATTATATATAAGATAATGACTTTATGATAAAGTAATCTCGTGTGAGGCAAGGCACTAGAATCAACAGATTACTGCATGACTTTCTATAGCTCTGCTTTACAAATGTAAAATGAAGGCTCTAACTTGCAACCAGGAATACCCAGAGAAGGGAAAATCTGATTTTATAGTTAATGGCTAGTTTTTCATAATAGAGCTATTTGAAGGTGAAGGGAGTCTGAAATATTTTGTTTTCCCTTAGCACTTCACTTCTAAATCCCCTATAACTTTCCACACTTTTTGCTTAGTGTCATTTTTATCTTTCTTTATAGCTACCTTGCCTAGTAGATTAAAATGTTTGGTTTTTTTTTTTTTTTTTTTTTGCTTTTGTTTCATCTTAACTTGTAACAGTCCTTGCTTAGAGACTTCTAATCAGTAAAGGCTCAAATGTTTCTTAATTTAAAATGAGATTTGAGTAGTGTGGTAGATCACACATATCATATACATATCATTTCTATGTATGATATGGCCTTTTTACTCTAAACAATTTTTAACTTTTATAACCTTCCCTTGTAAGGAATAAAATCAACTCTGCTGAATACACATCTTTACCATCTGGCCCTGTGAGGGAGACCCTTTTCCAAAGCTCCCACTTTTCTTAAAATTGTATAATAAAATCTAAAAAATACTAGGAAAAAAAATACTGTTTAACATTCCCAATACCTATATTAATTTTTTAAGCAAAAATATAATACTTAAGAATAGTTTCATTGAAATAAATTGCCACTGCAAAACTGATCTTTTAAGAATGCTTTTAAAGTTAAAGAGCACATGAATACAATTATATGACACACACATCTCAGATTTTCTCTGAAAGTTAAAGCTGTGATATTGACTAGTAAGAACATAAGAAAACCCTTTTCATATCACTTATAATTTAATTAAATAATTCATGATTCAAAAGAGAGACTTAAATAATCTCAAGTAAAGACATTATTATTCTACAAGATCTCCTAAAAATAACACAAAAATAGTATAAATACACACACACTTTCATATATATAGATTTAGGAATATTTTTAAAGATAAAGAAAACATGAGTGCAATCATATGACACACAAATGTCAGATTTTCTCTGCAAGTTATACATGCAATGTTGTTTAGTTGGAACATACCCAACCTCTTTTATTTTATATACATGTATCTATATAACATATAGTATATATGTATAGATATGTGTGCATATAAGTGTGTGTATACAGATGTGTGTGTGTATTTGGAATTCAATAATTTCCATATATAGAGAGAAAGATAAAGATAAGAATTAACTAGACTTTCTTCTACTTGTAAATATGCATTACATTTATTTCAGTTTAAGTACACAATCATTCTATGAGTTTTTTTAAAATTTTATTTATTAATTCTTTTTTTTTTTTTTTTTTTTAATTTGACCAGAAAGAGACACACACAGAGAGAGAGAGGGAAGGTGAGAAAGCAAGCAGCCAGGTCCGGGTCGGCCATGTGGGAGTGTTTGTGCTACTGCGGATCCCTCCTAGGTTCTTTAATAAGCTTGGTAACCCCAAATCTTTAGGGAAATTTCTGCTGTCCTATAAGTGATTTATAAGTAATCTCACACAAAATGTCATTACGTACATACTGTATGAAAAAAGTAAATCAGATACTTGGGACATGTGATTTAGACATAGAATGGAGAAATAAGGGGTACCTTAGCAAAGAAGAGAAGTTTGAAACTACTAAAAAATTTTCTAATTTGCTTTATTCTACAGTTAGCTTTTCTTGATAATAAAATTTTGTAAGTTTTGAAGCTTATTTTTTTTCTTGTAGAAACCATTTAGATAATTTATTTAGAAATGAGATCCCTTAGCCACTTGTTAATTGCCTTAATTCAGAGCATTGAAAATCCACCAAAAACCAGTTTATCTTATCTCTTCATAATCAAAAACAAATAAAAAACTCAAAACACTGCTTTTATTTTTCCTACTGGAAGGTTATCATGGTACTTCTCTGCTGGAGCTTTCTTCATTTTTAATCACTTACATAATCTTCATATATAACTGTTATGAACCAAATTCCAGCCTCAACTTGTTCAAATGAATGTTGTGTAATTAAATGCACATGATATTCCTAGTCAATATTTGGGTTGTATTGGAATGTCATAATTTCCCTTGAAAAGGTATTTTTTTTAAAGCATCATCTTCTTAAATAAACTTATAACTATCTTATATTTATGAAGATTGTCAAAATTAATCATGGTGATTCAAAGTCAGAGTCTATGAGAGATAGAACTGCCATTAAAATAGCAAAATTTTGAGGTTAATACTTAAGACAATATACTGATATTTTCAGTTGTTAGAGTTGGTCCATAGAATTTTAATTAAATTATTTGCCTATCTTCATCTAAAAATTTGTTTTCTTACATCTCTAAAATTAGATTCCTTTTCAGGTCAGTGAAATCATTTTAAATACTATTTTCTGCCCTCTAATATATTCCTTTCATCCTCGTCATTTTCCATGAAAATAAGCCAGTGTAAGATTGCATGGCATCTCTATCCTCAGAAAGCCTTCACACAAAAGTTTCCCGCTGGTCTGGCATGACACTTGGCACTCGGGTTTTCCTGTCCCTGCAGGCCCTAGGATATATTCAGGCTTTCAGCCAAGAATCAGGAGGTTGGAGTGTGGGGCTATTTGCCAGCATCTCCAACAGAGACGTAGTTCACTTGAACACTTCGTTTTGCTACATCCATGTGTATTAAAGCATTTGTTATCTAAGAGCACAACACTGTTTTAGAAAAAGTACACCCCCATTGGGATGCTCTGGGGTTAGACTCCATCTCTACTCACAAAGCCCACATAGGACAGATCTACTTTCCATTCTGATGTGGTGAGATTTTCATGAAAGCAATCCAAATCCCTTTGTAATGAAAGTCGCCCGTTCTAGAGAAGAGAGTTTCAATTCCCTAGCTAGCAAACTGAATGGGCTATGGGCTGTTCCCTTCCAGCACTGAATAGCTCCACATAGGCCACTTGCCCTTCCTGTTTCAGACTGTGTCCACCCACAAAGAAAACTCAGGTTAGAAAAGCCCTGTTGCCTCAAGAATGTAGGTGCTTGAGACAACTGGTGGTGTTCTTGTGTTTGCAAAGGGCAGAGAAGAGATTTGGAATAATGAGATAATTTTTTTCTTCTGCTATTAATCTTGTTTACATACATTCAGGTCTAAATAATAAAATGCATATTTCGGTGATGGTCATACTGTCTTCTCTATGTCATTAAGTATACCGACCTTTCGTGTGTATTATAGAAGTGTGCCATGTACATAGAAGGGTAATTAACTCAAGATGTATCTTTGGGATCATGTCTTTGGACAGGTATTTGTCTGAATAAGTGTAAAATAATTTTTAAAGATTGATAAAACAAAACATTCTTTTCTTCTACTTACAATGTTTCTAACAACCATCACACTATGGGAATAATGCTGTTATAAATTAATCACAATAACATCAATTCCAAGGCTTTTTTGAAGGAATAGTAGTTGATAAGGATAGCAATGTGATCAACTAGAATTTAGCTAGCACATCTTTCCTGAAGGTGCTAACATGCTGCATGAACTATCTGCAGTACACAAAACAGGGGGCTCAGAGGACAGTGTGGCAAATGAAGCAGAATTGGAAAGCCTGTTTCAATATAAATTCACTGAAATCATGCTTGGCAGCAGCATCCTTTGCCACTATCAAAAGACACTGATGCTTGCTCTAGTGAAGGTTATATAATTATCTTTTTCTTTTTCTTTCTTTCTTTCTTTCTTTCTTTCTTTCTTTCTTTCTTTCTTTCTCCTCTCCCTCTCTTGTTTTTTGTTTTTTTTTTTTTTTTTTTTTTTTTTTTTTTTTTTTTTTTTTTTTTAGGGAGAGGTTTTTGCTATAGGGTGTGTGTGCTTGCCGGAAAGACAGAGACACAGAAAGTGAGAAATCACCGACCACCCCACCCCACCCCCCGCCCAGGAGGTATGGCCACTCCAAAATCTCTTACTCTCCATTCTCCTCTTAGGATCTTGGGCACACATACACATGTGCCCAACTGAGTTTTAAGTCACCAGGTCCGGGTCTTGAACTGCGGTCGACTACATGGGAGTCCAGTGAAATAGCCATTATGCCAAGTACTGGTCCCCATTATACATTATCTTAAGCAATCTAACATTATGCTATTTCATTATAAGCAGTTCTTCTGTCTCTAGAAGAGCTACAGACTAGAGGGACCAGAAGATGATGGTCCCTCTAGTTACGTTGCTGGACTCCCACTTTGTTGACTGTGGTTCGTGTCCCATATCCGGCAGCCAGAAACTCATGCCTGTTACATGTATGCCCAGATCCCAAGAGGAGATTGGAGAAGAAGAGATTGCACGGGGAGGGGGGTGATTTCTTGTTTTCCGTCTCTTTGTCTCTCTCTGTCTCTTCAGCGAGCGAACATGCCTGATAGCTAAAAACAAACAAAAAAACAAACAAACAAAAAAACTCTCAAAAAAAGAAGAAAAAAGAAAAGCTACATACACACATACAGCAAGAAGGGAGCTGTTCCCCCAAACCCGTGAGTCCCAGTATTCTCCCCTTGCCTTTTGCCTTCTTTTCCTTTCTCTTGCCCTCTAATGATCTACTTACAAAGTTTTCAGTGACAGCCATATCTCAGGAAGTATAATCTGGGATGCCCTTTGGTTTTAAGAAAAGAAAAAGGAAACGTACCTTGGGTAAACTGAGTGATGCTATAGTTGCCTTTCCCCAAGTTGAGGAGGTGGCCATGTTGAGGGGACTCTGTCACGATGAACCTGAGAGAAAAGTGCAGGCTGTCTCTGTCCTCTGCTTTCAATACTTTGCTTGTAATCATGAATCCCAAGTGGCCAATGGCCAGCATGCGAAGTGTAGAGGCCCCTTTATTCACTGAAATTTGGGGGACACTATCATCAACAGCTAAAATGTGGATCTTCATCACTTGGGGTCTCCTTGTTTCAAATACTGTGTCAGGAAAAACATAGAAGTCCGTGTGGGTGCCGTCCGTCACTGTGAAGGAGAAGCTGTCTTCACTTGACTCGGTGCCATCATGTCTGTAGCTGATTAAGTTTTCATTCAAGTCTTGCTTGGTAAAAATCATGGTAGGCCTGGTATTATTGAATAGGAGATGACCGTGGACAGGCACCTGGGTGACAATAAATTTCAGAAGTTTGTCAGGAGTATCTCTGTCTTCAACAGTGAGTTCAAAAGGAGTGATCAGCTTGTTTTCACTTTCACTGACAATCAGGTTATGGATGGTGACCACTGGCTTTTTGTTGTCCACATCACTAATGGAGATACGGAATGTTCGGAAGACAGGGTTACGTCCATCAGTGACTTGAAACTCAAAACTGTCCATCTTTACCTCATCCTCAGCTGTGTGGATGTAGTAGATTTTGTTGCCAGCCAGCTGGAGCTGTGTGAAAGATGTGATGGGCAGTCCCAGTTGATCAGTGCACTCTAAGTGACCTCTCATGGGAGCCCTGGTGATGGTGAAAACTAAGTTTTCATCAGGACTGTTCAAGTCGCTAGTGCTTAGTAGGTCTGTTGTGAGAGTGACCTTACCACCTTCTTTCAAAGACACCCCCTTACTTATCACATCTGGGAAGACAATATCAATGCTCCCAATGGACACATAAAAGTAGCGATCTATGAGGGTGTTTATTCCATCAGTCACGTCAAACTTAATTAGGTCCCGGATGCCCTCTTTCCCAAAATGAACATACTGAATTAAGTTTCTGTCCACTTCATCTTGAGTAAAATTCATGCCCAGAGTGATATTTTCAAAGGCTCCTACAGGCTTTCTTCTCTGTAATAAGCCATGTCCTGGTCCATAACGAATAATATAAATCAATGATTTGTCTTCAGAGTCTAAATCAGTTGCCGTTAATATTTTGTTGTTGATAATTTTGGTTTCCCCGATTTCAATTTCTAGTCCATTATTGATGCTCATTCTGGGGGTCTCATCATCAACTGGGATAACCATAATGAGAACCATCTTTTCTACAGAATGCTTGCCATCTGTTAGTTTAATTACAAAGCTATCTTCCTGGGTCTCAGAGTCATCATGTTCGTAAATAATACTGGAACTCTCTATAATCTGGTCCAAGGTGAAACTTTCAACCAAAACTGTGCCATTTATTAGCTGGTTCATGACGTGACCATGAGTAGGAAACTGGGTAATAGTGAAAGTTAGACCATCTGGGGGAATGTCAGCATCAGCAGCATTGAGAATGGGCGTATCAATCACCAGACTCATGCCTTCCATCACCATAAATTCTCTCATAAATATTTCTGGCTGTTCATCATTGGTGGGAATGATTACAATGGGAAAAAAATGTCTCTCTGAAAAGTTAATGCCATCAGAACAACGAAATATAAATCGGTCTTCCACAGGCTCCACCCCTTTATGGACACTCTGGACATAGTAAATGTGACTCTGTCTAAGATCTTTCAGAGTGAAGGCACTTATGGCAATTCCTGTTCTTGATTTCTCTGAGCCTGGTGCTGGAGAAATGTTTTCAACATAACCTGAGGTAGGTTGAATGACTATAGTGCACAAGATGTCATCATTCATGGAATCCATATCTTCAGCACTTATATGCATTGAAGTTATAACACTTTTGTCCCCTTCCATTACTGTGAACTGTTCACCCACAGAAATTTCTGGGGCCTGGCTGTCAACAGGGAGGATGGTCACCCACACAGTAACTCCTTGGATGGTGTTGCCACGAATTCTCCATTCTTGAGATATATCAGACAGACTTAGGTTGAAAGAGTCTGCTTTGGGCAATAGACCTATTTCACCACTGGTGTGGGCATAGACAACAGATCCCTCTAAGATGTCTTTTTGGGTAAACTGCTCTGCTGGGACTCCATTGACCAGGATTTCTCCATACAAGGGTGGATCTTCCAACAGAAAAGTCAACATAAAATCGTCGGTGTCATCATTGTTCCCCTTAATAACATTGGCAGTGAGTTCAGTAGCCCCATTTTCTAAGACATCTAAATAGGACTCCAGAGTGCCAGTAGGAAGGCTCAGAATGGGCGCCTCATTGTCCACGGGCCGGACATTTACTCTGAGAGTGATGGGCACCACATGGTGCCTGTCACTGACTTCCAAGGAGCAGCTATCTGTCAGGGACTCATCTCCACTGTGGGAATAGGAAACTCGCCCCTGTTTTATATCTTCCAAATAAAAGAGTCCCCCAACATGCAGCTGTTGTCCAGACACTTGCATGTGGCCATGTTTGGGTGCCTGTGTGAGAGTAAAAGAGATGTGAGCAACATCAGTGTCTACATCTTTCACATGTAACTCAGTCTCACTCAGGATGTGGTGGCCCTTCTCCTGGATAGTAAAGCCAGTGTTGAGGATCTCAGGTGGCTGGTTGTCCACTGGCTGCAAGTAAAGGGTGAAGGTGCCCGGAGCCACATTCCCAGCTCGATCCTCCACATGGAATTGGAACTGGGCCACTCGAGCAGCCACTCCCAGCTCTTGACCTGGAGGTCTATAAGCAATTTTATGGTGGTTGATCTGGGCTTGGGTAAAATGGGTCACCACAACTGAGGGGTTGTCAGTCAAGACCAAGGTGCCCAGCGGGGCTGGTGAGTGGTTTTCATCCGTGTCCATGGGAGGCTGGGTCACTGTGTAACGCAGTTCTCGGTCATCTGTGTCCAGGTCAGTGTAGCGCAGCCACTTCTTCCTCAGTGGTGTGAGCTGGGATTCCTGCACCACCATCCGAAGGGGACAGCCAAGGCCCAGCTCTGGAGGGAGGCGATCCACAGGATGAATGCGTATCACAAACCTCTGTGGGCCAGATTGATTAGGGGGGTCATGGTTATCCTGGACTCTGAACGTGAACTGGTCCATGACTGGCCCAGGACTGTGGGTCCCCGAGTGCCTGTAGAACAGCCTCCCTTCCATTATGTCCTTTTGCTGCCACTCTGTCACTGTCCGCTCGTAGAATGCTCCCTGCTTCCTCCAAAAGCCCCCACTAAGCTCCTTCTCCTCATGGGGAGGATGAGTTTGTCGAAGAAGCAGGTGCCCTGTAGTTGAGGCTGGGGACTCCAGCACAAAAAGCAGCAGAGAGTCATCTGAATCCATGTCAGTTGCACTCAGAGCAGGGGGCAAGATGGGCACTGTTTCACCCTCTGCCAGTGTGAGCCCCGTGTTGGCATTGAGAACCGGTGGCTGGTCGTCCACAGGCACTAAGGTGATGGGGAATAGGAACTGCACCGGGTGCCTGCCTGCTCCATCCACCATGCGAAGCACCAGGTTGTCACTCAGGGAGCCATCCTTGTCGTCGTGCTGGTAGACCACCTGCCCAGCTGCCAGCTCCGCCACTGTAAAAGTCTTGGGAGCAGAGATGCCACTGGAGGCACCCAAAATAACAAGGTGACCGTGCCGGAGTCCAGCCACCACCTCCAGGCGCACTGCTTCTAAGTCATCCTCATCGCTGATGACCAAGTTTTGTGGTCCACTGTCTGCGGGGCCTGCCAGGGGCCGAGACTGACCCTCGTAGAGAATAAGGCCAGTGTTCCGGGTGACCACGGGAGCCAGTGTGTTCATGGGCTTCACCACTACCATGAAGGCAAAAGGGTCTGAGGCTGCGCCTTCAGGGTCCACGACCTCCAGCTCCAGTTCAAAAACACGCTCCTGGTCCGAGTCCTCGGACGGGGGCTGGTAGGCAATCTTCAGGAGGCGCAGATCCTGCTGGGTGAAGGAGGAGAGGGGCAGGCTGCGATCATCAGTGCTCACCAAGTAGCCCTGGCCAGGCTGGAGCGGAGAGGTGAGGTTGAAGACCAGCAGGTCCGCGGGAGACTCTGCATCCTCAGCCGCCAGCATGTCTGGGGTCAGGGCGGTCAGGACAAACTGGTCCACCTCCATCATCATCATGGCCACAAAACTGGGCTTGGGCGCGGTGTTCTCGGCCCCTCCGCGTATCCTCACTAGCACCTGGAAGTGCTCGCGTTTCAAAGCAGGGCTGCCCACAGGAGCCCCTCGCGAACGCAGCTCCACTACCATGGGCACCCAGTCCCGGTTTGGTGAACGACTGGAGGCTGTGTGGCGGTAGCGCACGCCTAGCTCCTGGAAAGCTTTGCAGTCCATCAGGAGAGGCTCCGGGGCGCCTGCCTCCCTGGCTCTTGCAGGGACCTGCGGGTAGTGGAGGAGTTCTCCATAGCGAGGCAGCGCGCCCAAGCCGGACAGGATGCCCACGCGGCACTCCTCTGTCTCGGGCTGGTAGGCAAATTCCAGGCTCCGCGCGTCCAGGGCATTGCTGGTCCCCAAGAGTTCTTCCACCACCAAGGGCAAGTTTCGAGTCACAACCTCCAGCTGGGTGAAGACCACCTCCACCTCCAGCACCAGCGGAAGCACTATCGCCCCTCCCGGAGCGTCATAGCGCAGCTGCAACCGGACCCGGTCCCGCGACGGACTGCGCGCGCCCAGGTGCGAGTAGCTCACTTCGCCAGGGCCGAAGTCGCAAGGGAAGCGCTTGGGACTCAGGCGACCGGGCCGTTGGGCCAGCGCGTCGTTGTCTACCACGGTCACTGCGCAGCGATCCCCCGGCTGCACCTGCAAAACCAGGTCGTGCAGGGGATCTAGCCACACTTCACGACCAAAGGGCACCCGGAGTCCGCGGTTCGCCAGCACTATGGCCTTCTCCGCAGGGACACCTGAAGCCCCCGCGAGACCCGGGGATAGCAATTCTTGGCCGGGGGCAGCGGGCTGTGCCAGGACGCAGCTTACCAGTGACAGAAGCAGCGCTATCCGGGGCGGCTGCGGAGATATCGCCTGAAAGCTGGAGGAGTTGGCAGTCCGGCGCGCGCGGGAGGAGATCCCGGGAGTCCCGGCTGCAGTCATGGCCGGAATGTTAGAGCTCGGACAGGTCAGCCTGAGAGTGCGCAAAGTCAGTCCCCGGGCAGTTAACAAGAGAGACTGCCGGAAAGTGCCAGGAACTCCGCGCGCTGCCGGGGTAGTTCTCCCGCAGTCCGGGCTAGGCCGGAAAGATGGGGAAGTTGCGCGTCGTGATCTGGGCAGGAGCCTCAGCCCAGACGGCTAAGCCGTCCCCGCGGGTCCCGCTGAGCCGCTCTGGGCTCGGCAGCGCGGGGAACTGAGTCCCTCTACTCCTACTTTCCACAGCCCGACCCCGGGCTTTGAGGGAAATCCCACCCCTCGCACCCCCTTTCTCCAGTCCTCCCAGGGGACCAATCGATGGTCCCAGGAGGAGGCCCGGAGTAGAGGGTTGGGTAGCAATTTCTGTCAATCAACTCGTAGCGCCCTGGCAGGGAAACTGCGGAGAGGGGAGGAGGTAGAGGCGCAACAGGTTGTCCTGAAAGTGAGCGGCGAGGCGGCCTGGAGCTGCCTACCCTCGCTCGCCTTTGCTCCAGGCAGCTAATCTGGGGCTTGAGCAGAGAAGACGCAGTATACTGCAGTGCTGGGTTCACTTCATCTGCCTGCAACCCCGGCGACATTAACCTTTGCAGCTCGGCAGCTCCTCCTCCCTGCTTCCATGCAGTGAAATACTGGGCAGGGATGGCCGGTTTTCAAGGAAACGCGCAAACCCGCTCTGAAAGTTAGACACAATGTCGCTAGAGTTTGAATCAAAACCCAGAGCCCTCTAAAAAGAAAAGCTGGGACATTATTTGCAAAGGAACAGCTGTAATGAAAAGACAAGGCTGGAGCAGGTTTCCACCCTTCGCCCCCTCGGCACCTCCCCCCCTCCCCCGTCTCTTCATAAATTATGATGGGCACGGTTCTTGGACTGGTGTTTTAAACATTCACCTCCTTTGCAACCAGAGGTCACAAAGTAAAAGAAAAAAGGGGGGCATTTGGAATGTGTGAATGTGTGAGAAATGCAGTTTGATGAGAATCGCTCGCCTTGCAGCAAAGAATAAGTTGTAGAGAATGTAGCCCCAGGCTCTCAAAGCCGCCGCTGTTGGGGTAGCTGTCATTAGAGACGTTCCTGTTCTCTTCGCAGCAATTAGACCAAGTACAAACTAAATCCACTTGTCAGCATCACATTTCTTTGCATGCCAAGAGAATTGATAAATATCCGGAGGGCGAACTAAAATAGTTTAGATCTCATTTCTGTCAGCCACTTTTGAAGTCAAGGTCTTCCTGCCCCCTTGTGTCTGTCTGGTTTCAGTAGTGTGTAAATTCCCTTTCTACAAGGTTTTCTATTCCCCCCTCCCAGGACCCTCAAAATGAAAACCCAGAAACTTTTAGACCGACTCCTTGAACAATTTTGCTTATTATGGTCAAAATGTTTTATTTGGGGTAATGTTCTTTAATCTTCAGTAATACAACTCTGGTTATTAAGGAACGCATAGAGACGGAGTAATCATCCTTCCCGTTTCCTGCTCAAAGACACCTTGATAGAGTTTGGAAAGGAAACAAGTGTAAACCACTGTTACCACCCTTTTAAATTTCAGTCTAGATAGAAGATGTCAGATGAATACATGGATAGTGCAGTAAGAAGTGCCTATCCTTTTAGCCCTTTTGTGTTTTCAGCGTGGGCTCCTCCAGTCCAGGAGTTGGATCCCTGCCTGATGCAAGCACAGTTGTTTTCCAGGCCACAGCGCAGACTCATCACCCGTGGCTGGGAGATGTCAGGTTCTGCTCCAGGAAGCCTGGAGGACAGTGTCTGTCCCTGGAAGTCAAAGATGAAAAGTTCTGAAACCTTTCCAAAAGAAGCAAGAGATTAATTTAGTGGAGCCACTCACCCAAGCAGATAATGTTTCACTAATACAGAGTATTAATTGGGCTTCTTGTGTGTGTTCTGCACTGCTTGGGGGAGCCTTTAGCTTCCATTTACAACTGATGGTACATTTCAAAATTTATTTCAAAATGAACATCCAACAACATAGAAGGAATGTGACCAATACTTCAAACACATGAGAAAATCCCTGTTCCACCCTTCACTGATTTCCAACTCTCTCTAGTATTATTTTATAATTTATTATGATTATTTACTCTCATGTACAGAATTTGAGGAGCAGAGACTTGGGAGAATTCTATTTTCTCTTTACAAATAAAACAAATGGGGGAGGGCAGTAGGTGGCGCATGCTTACAACACTGAACTCCCACATGGCTGAGCTCGGTTCAAATCCCAGAACTGGTGGCTTGAAAATCAGGTTAGACTTTGCGTACCTGAAATCCCAGGAGGAAAATGGAGGAGAAGAGATTGCAGTGGGGCCATTTCCCCCCCACCTCGGCCCCCAGGATTTCTCACTTTCTCTGTCTCTAAATGAGCCCATGTGCCCTATGGTAAAAACTTAGAACACAGAACAAAAACAAAAAAAAATAGGACATTGCCAAGTGACAGAAAAAAATCAATTTCACAATGTGGCACTTTATATATTTCAAATTCTGGTTATTTGTTTTTGCTGAAAAATAGTTCTGCTGGCAGCAAAGTGGCCCTTACTCAGGCACTGTGACCCTGGGTAAGTTCTGACCAGAATCAGATCACCAGCCTGACCCCTGATGTGTCCCAGTGGCTCCAGGGGTTTCCTTTCTTCCTTTAAAGTCCACCTCTGTTTGACTTGCAAGCCATGATAAGATCAGCATTTGAAGTATGGCATATGTTTGAAGGGCAGAGATCAGCATTTTGTTTCATAGTAAGAAGAATACAAGCTCAGAGTTGTTTTAACGTAGCCTAAGGAAATCAATAAACTACAGTAATTTTTGATTTTTAAATTTATCTTGACCAAAGTGGTGGAATGATTCTTAGAGAAAAAAAAATTGGGAAATGTCTTAGTTATTTGGTTTTAAAAATCATATAGAAGGTAATATAATTATTTGCTTAAAGCATATTCTGCATTAATGATTATTGATAAAATAGTAAACATTTTTCATCTGGGAGCAATTATTATTGATGATGATCATTTTTCTTTAAGGTAATAAATCAGTGTTTAAGGATCTGTATGCTTAAGATTAGTATGAAAATATAATTTTATTAATGACTAATAACAGTCTCCATATCAGAAGAGATAAATAAGTTAGCAAGTGGGTAACTTAAAAAGAATTGTAAGCTTAACTCTTCAGTTCTTTCTTTTAAAAAAATTATTATTATTATTATTATTTTAATTTGCAATAGGGCATGTGCACTCATCAGAGAGAAAGAGAGAGAAAGAAGTGAAAAAACAAGCTGCCAAGTTTGGAACTTGAACCACTGTCAACTACGTGAGAGTCCAGCGCCTTAACCACCATGCCACCTGTTGGCCCCAGTTCTTATTTTCTTAAACCTAACACTTCCTGCATATACTATGGGAGAGATTATCCTTTACAATAAGTTCTTAAATTTGTTTGCTATTTGAAAATTATACCAAATTATCTCCTTAATCAATGTGATTGTTAAAATTTGTTTGAAATATAAATACACTTTAAAAAGTTTATTTATTTATATTTTTGTGAATAGAGTATGGATTTTCATAGCACACATACTGTGTATAATTATCAAAACATGGATGCAGATATACTAATCTTCAACACTGAACATTGCATTTGTATGCACATTTGAAGGTAGTTCTACTAGTTTTTTAAAAAGTATATATTAAGTTAACATTTTATTACTTTACTGTGGTACTACTATTCGCTAACCCGTTTCCTTTGTTTACACCCATTCCTGTGTTTATAATCATGTCTCCCTAAGCCCCTGTGCACTCACCTCACATCTTTATGCAGCTTCTACTATTTAGCATTATTCTCTCTTATAAATGATTTCTTACATAAGATTAAAGATCAGAGGGCATATTTCCTAAACTAAAGGAGAGGATGTGACAAATTTAAAATTCAGGCAACACATTCAGGTGGAAATCAGATGACAGGTCTGGGAGTCTAAAGCCAGACTGAAGGTAAAGATGCATTGGTTTAAATTTTGAGTATAACAGTTTTTATAATAGTGTTTATTTCACTTTCCTTATGTTGCCTCGCTGAAATATAAGACTCCGAGATAGAAGATTGCCTCAGGCGTACTTTAAAAAGACATCTACACAAATGGTTTAAGCTTCATGCTATGTGTGTTTACTAGTTCTCAACTATTTTTATTCCTCAATAGTTTCAAAACCAAAGCTTTCCTATACACATAGATGTGGTTGATTTCAGAGCAGCACTGAAGTCGTGAGTGTAAACAGCCCTGGCGCTGGGTTCCAGCCTTAGCTCTGGCATCTGCTGACTGGATCCCTAGCAGCAGTTCTCTGTAAGTTTTACAACTGTGGTAGATGAGAGGATCTGTCTGTGTGGACAAATTCTCTTTTGTTTCTAAAATTCTGATGCTGTAAAACTGAGTTTATGGATAATGTGCTATTTTGCTTCCCTGCGTTCTTTGGTCATAGACTACAGTTCTTAATCTTGACAGAAAGAGTCACTCTGTTCATAAAAAATAAATCTCTGCTACTGCTACATGGGACTAGGAGCCACAAAGTCTTGTTCTGCAATTGGCTTGTCTGAAGTTCAGGACAAATCACCATATCCATCTCCAGAAATGTATGATTAGGGAAGCGGTGATCTATGTACAAATACAAAGTGGAAGAGTCTTCAGAACATTCAGAGAACGTGCATATCATGAAAAACTACCCATGGATTTCAAATTATTTTTGCACCAAAATAAACTCAGACTTTAATTTTATTTTCCTCTGAACTGTTTAAACAAAATGGCAATTGTTTTTAAACACCTCTCTCTCTCTGTATATACATTGGGTTGTCAGAAAAGTCATGACACGTTTTTGTATAGAAAAAAATATGTCATGACTTTTCCAACAAGTTCCAAGTATTTACTAAGTGATGATGGCAAACTCTTAGTTTATCTTTGACTCTTCTTATTTCACTTTCTGTACTTGTTTCTTAGTATTATGAGAGCTTAGAATGCTTAATTATGACATTAATGATACCACATCTAATAAATCTAATACTTGTTCTATTAGTTTTCCTCTTTTACCTTCATTTCTAGCCTTTCTAGTTGCTTTATCTTTGATTAAAATCATGCTTAATTTTTCTATTCTGTAAAAAATAAAACAAAACCAAAAAACAAGAATCTCTCTCAATATTGATGTTCTC